TGCCACATTTTCCCTATCCAGTCTATCGTCGATGGGCATTTGGGTTGGTTCCAGGTCCTTGCTATTGTAAACAGTGCTGCAATGAACATTCGTGTACACGTGTCCTTATAGTACAATGATTTGTAATCCTTTGGATATATACCCAGTAATGGGATTGCTGGGTCAAATGGAATTTCTATTTCTATGTCCTTGAGGAATCGCCACACTGTCTTCGAACTTAATTTTTAATTATCTGTTAGCTTTCTGAATTTGTTAGAAATGTGAATCTTTTCATCTTTTCCAGTATATATAAATACAACTGTAAAAGGCCTTTGAAAGCAACATAAATAAAGATAGGCAATTTGCCTCAACTTATTACTCATAGAAATGAACAGAGATAAAAGTACCCTCTTAGAATTTGGCCTTGCCTTGAAAGTTTTAAATCACTTCTCAGTTTATCATTGCATTTCCTATTCTATTTATTGCTTCAAGTGATATAGGAGTTAAAATTTTATAAGAAGTGAAATTCACCATTTCCAATTGTCTAGAGTAAAAGGCCTTTTGAGAGATAGCTGATTTCCTGAGATCTCTATCTGCTCAAACACAAACCTGCCACCACAATGCAGTTAAACGTGAGGTGTCTCCAGACTACACAATTCAATCAGCTGTATTGTATTTCCTACCCAAATACTTTTGAGAGGAACTACAGTAGTTTACCACTTAATGCATTTATAAAACCACATGAAGGGTATTTAAGCATGTGAATATTTTCATTTGTTTTCTGCTTTAATTATTCCAATATGACATGAACACCTGTTTAAAATTCCTTGTATATCTTTGAATAATACATATAAATATTTTAAGACGTTTATTAGGTATAAAGCCTTAAGTAATTAAAATGCTAAGACAATTATAACTACAAAAACTTTGAACACTTAACAAAACACAACCTTATCTAACCTGCGAAATTCTAACCTTTTACTAAAAATGAGAGATATTGCTATAAGATCTAAACATTTCTTTTTACCATTTTTGTGAATGAATCTATTACTTGCTTATTCCTCAGACTGTAGATAACAGGATTTAACAAAGGAATTATGATTGTATAAAACAGAGAATCTATCATATCTTGATCATCTGCTTGTGGAGACACAGGGTGCACATACATAAAGAGAAGGGGACCATAATATAAAGAGACAGATAGGAGATGAGCTCCACATGTGGAAAAGGCTTTCCTTATGCCTCTGACAGACTTCTTTTTTAGGATTGTATAAAGGGCAAATGTGTAAGAGTTAAGAACTGTCACAATGGTGAATACCTGAATTAAGCCAGACAAAATAAAAACCATTAGAAAATTAATAGAAGGATCAGTACATGAAATCATAAACAATGGTATAATATCACAGTAAAAATGATGTATTATATTGGAATTGCAGAAGGTTAATCTGAATATAAGGACTTCATGAATTAAGACGTGGAGGAAGCCACCTAAAAATGACAAGACTAACAGCCGTATGCATAGTCTGTTGTTCATAATCACTGGATATAGCAAAGGTTTGCATATGGCTACATAGCGATCATATGCCATTGTTGCCAAGAGAAAACATTCTGTGGTTCCACCAAATGCAAAGGAAAAAAACTGAATCATGCATTCAGACAAAGATATCATCTTGTTTTTGGCCAAGAAGTTAACCAACATTTTGGGAGTTACTGTGGAAGATATCCAAGCATCAACAAAGGCTAAACTTCCAAGAAGTAAGTACATGGGGATGTGAAGTTGTGGATCATTCCAGATAAGAACAATCAGACCAAGGTTCCACACAATAGTAACGAGATATATCACCAGGAACACCAAAAACAGGGTTATTTTCCACTCTGGTTGATATGTAAGTCCTGTGAGAACAAATTCTGTCAGCAATGTTGCATTATTCTGTTCCATGTCCTCTTAGATATCCCTGAAATAAAATGCAGTAAATGTAAAAGAGTATTCACTAAGACTTATAAAGCAAATAGTGGGGGAGAGAAGTTGATATAAAAACATACTCTTATTACAATACCCTTTTAATATTCTTTCATATTTCTGTAATAGACAGAAATTGTATTGGGAAATAGAATAAATCAAAATAAATGCAATTATTTTAAATTTAAAAGTGTGATTAAATAATCTACTTGTACATGCCTCCCAGATGATAGAAATGTGTGTAATGTGTGTTAGCTTAAGAAAATCACAATTTGCAAATTTAGAAAAGGAGAGACTACTTATTTCTTATAAGGGGTTACAGCTGCAAGATGGCCATCAAGTAGGCTTGGAAGCCTGCCTCTGGCCAAGACCAGAAACAGGCACTTCCAAGGAAGAGGGCTTGAAGTAGTAGCTTTAAGCTAAATAGGTTGGCTAAGTATATACACATATTCAACAGGTTAGAAGAGGATCTATGAGTATTCATGAAGTTGGTCCTGGCACATGTATTCTGAACAAACATGTATGTAACATGCAACCCATGCTCACATTAAAGTGGATATAACATTTAAATATATTACAGTTAGGCCCTATACATCAAAAGGCCTTCTCAGGACATGAAGGCACATAAATGCACTGTCTCTGTAAACCAGCCAGAACCAGTCCACGGTCAGTTTTCTTCCTATCTGGAGAAAGTTACTGAAATCAGTCTCTTGTCCAAAGTAGTGGTTATGTCTGGTAGCTGGGGTTCAGTTACTGAGCATCTGATGCAGCTGCAAATTGTTTTAATCTTGCTTATCTTGAGGCCACTGCCTGTTTAGATGCTAGAGAAAAAGAAAAACCTTGTGCCAGTTAGAACACAGTTTATTCTTTAAGTGCAGAGGTGCCTGACTTAACCCTTGCCTGGTATGGCCTTAGGTTCTGTTTATAATTTGGAACCTTATTGTCACAAAGAGTATGTTCTGTCAGTCTTGTAATCTGTATCTTTAACATTAATGCTGGTCAGTTGTGTCTAAACTGCAAAAGAGTCAGTATAGCAAGGCACATCTGACCTCCCACTCTGTTATGGCTAGCAACTAAATCATTAAGATTTTTCTGGAGACCTGTTGGCCAAGAGGGGGTTCATTCTATTGCTGGGGTCTTAGGATTTTAAGATTACAAGTACCTCGTTCATGTGTAATATAATCTTGTAAATAATAAGGAGGATGAAGAAATAGATTATAAAGCATTCAGAATGTAGTGTCACTAGGACTTAGTCACATATTTGATAGAAAAGTAATATTCAGTGGAGGAAAAAGGAGTCACTTTGTGAGTAGATAGATTATCATTCAAAATAGAGACTGAGAACTCAGATGCACTGACAAGTTTGTACTATAAGGATGCTTTGAACATGCAGGTGAGATGTTTAGTATTAGTAATATAATTCTACTAGAGTGATAGAAATACTAATCTGGGAGTCATTGGAATAATTGAAGGCATAGTAATGGCTGTCTTACCTATTGGTAAAGGTAAACCTTTTTCTGTTAATAAAAGAAAAGCATAGCACCAAAAACACTTGATAGTGTAATGACCTAATTTCCTTTGGGTATATACTCATTAATGAGATCTTTGGGTCAAATGGTAGCTTTGTTTCAAGATTTTGAGAAATCTCCAGGTTGCTTTCCACAGTGGCTGAACTAATGTATTTCCATCAACAGTGTGTAAACATTTCCTTTTCTTCACAGCCTCATCAGCATGTGTGGCTTTTTTTGACTTTTTAGTAATAGCCATTATGACTGATGTGAGATGGTATCTCATTGTGATATGTGATATTGATATGTGATATGAGATATTGATATGTGATATGTGATATGTGAAATGAAAATTTCTCTGATGATTAATGTTGAGCATTTTTTTTTCATGTTTGTTGACTGCCTGTATGTCTTCTTTGGAGAAGGATCTGTTTATGTCCTTTGCTTGTTAATGGGGTTAAATTTCTTTTGCTTGTTGATTTGCTTAAGTTCCTTATAGATTCTGGATTTTATACCTTTATTGAATGCATAGTGTGCTAATATTTTCTTTCATTCTGTAGGTTGTCTGTGTACTCTATTGATGGTTTCTTTTGCCGTGCAAAAGTTGTTTGGTTTAATTAGGTGACACTTGTCAATTTTTGTTTTCATTGCAATTGCTTTTGAGGACTTACCCAAAAATTATTCTCTAAGGCCAACATTGAGAAGAATATTTCCTAGGTTTTCTTCTAGGATTTTTACATTTTGAGGACTTAAATTTAAATATTTAATCCACCTTGAGTCAATTTTTGTATATGGTGAAAGAAAAGGGTTCAGTTGTATTCTTCCATATATGACTAGCCAGTTATCCCAGCACCGTTTACTGAATAAGCGATCCTTTCCCTGTTGCTTGTTTGTCAGCTTTGTTGGAGATCTGATTATTGCAAGTGTGTGGCTTAATTTCTGAGTTTTCTACTATGTTCCATTGGTCTATCTGTACTAATGCCATGCTGTTTAGTTGTTAAAGACACATCCACTCATATGTTCACTGATACACTATTCACAATGGCAAACACATGCAATCAATCTAGGTGCCCAGCAGGGGTGGATTGGATTTTTTAAATGTGGTACATATATAACATGGAATACTACACAGCCATAACAAATAATTAAATCGTGTACTTTGCAGCAGCATGGATGCAGCTGGAGGCCATAATCCAAAGCAAACCAACATGGGAACAGGAAACCAAATGCTATACCTTCTCATTTACAAGTGGAAGCTAAACATTGAACACACATGGACATAAACATGAGAACATAGACACTTTGGGCTAGTAAATGAGAGAGAGAGGGGGAAATGGGTGAAAAATCTCTCTGTTGGGTACTATGTTGACTACCTGCATGCAATATATCCATGTAACGAGCCTGTATAAATACTCTCTATATCTAAAATAAAAGTTGAATTTAAAAAAAAAAAACAACAAGAAGTTATATCAAAAGGTAACGTAGAGAATGGATGTCATTTATTAGATGGCCAACATCTGATACTTTTTTCTCCAACATGGCTCTTAGTGGCAAACAAATGATTTGACCTTGATATGTATAAATCAAAGTCACCCAACCTAGATTTGGATGTAGAGAGATGGAGAAAAATATACATGGACAATAAAAATTTAGTACAAAGACAGTTGAAGAAAAATATCAAGAACTCAGCACATGCATCCTGCATTTAAGAAACAATGGTACAAGGCCGGGCGCGGTGGCTCATGCCTGTAATCCCAGCACTTTGGGAGGCCGAGGCGGGTGGATCACGAGGTCAAGAGATCGAGAGCATCCTGGTCAACATGGTGAAACCCCGTCTCTACTAAAACTACAAAAAATTAGCTGGGCATGGTGGCGCGTGCCTGTAATCCCAGCTACTCAGGAGGCTGAGGCAGGAGAATGGCTTGAACCCAGGAGGCGGAGGTTGGGGTGAGCCGAGATCGCGCCATTACACTCCAGCCTGGGTAACAAGAGTGAAACTCCATCTCAAAAAAAAAAAAAACAAACAACAATGGTACAAATAATATAAGCTGTGTCATTGGCAGTTCAGCAGCAGAAATAACCACAGTCATGAAGCTACTGTTGGAACAGGATTTTGGTTGTTGACTGGCTGCCTTGCTTTCTTCTGTTCCTGTCACTCAAAAGAGAGATGAAGGAGAGAAGAGAAAAGGACATTAAGCAGAGGGATCAAGGGAAAGAGCAGGAGGGAAACTAGAGAGTTGAGAGTTGGGGACATAAAGAGAGGAAAGATACAAAGCACAACAAAGTGAAGTACAGGGCCAAATACCAAAATAAATGCTGTAGTAGGACAAGAAGTGAAGGAAAATCACTGTGCTAACAAAGTACGTGACTTTTAGTGGCTTTAGGGAGAGCAGTTTCCCTTATGCAGTAGAATAAAGGTCAGCAAATAAGTGAACGGGAAACACATGGCAAAACAGTGAGGTGGTGAAACAGATTATGAAACATGGAGAATAGTTAGTATTTGTCTACGGCTCATAGACTAATTTAATATTTGTTCCTGTGGAATATTTAAGAAAAGTTCTCCCCCCCAAAAATAGACAAGACAGAGGAGAGAAAGGTATTTAGAGGAGAAAAGGGACAGAAAACATAGAATGGGAAATTTGTATGGGTGAAAATAATACAAGAAGGAAGAAGAAAAATAGAGACTAATCATGGCATAGATGAGTAAGTGCAAAAAAGACAAGCCAAAGAATGAGACAGAGAGGAAGCATCAGTGACACATAGAGGCAAGTAAAGAGGAAAGCTTGGGTTGAACATGTGCATTAACTCTGATGTTCATGAATACCGCAGAGAGTTTTGAGAGTCTTTTCACTTCCTTTTTTAAAGAATTCAGCTTGTTTTCCTATGGAGTTTGTCTATGATAAAGACACTTTTACTTGAAATTTTATCCATAAATTTTCTATTGTTCATGACTATGTTGGCACTGTCTGAAAGTTTATTCCATATTCAAATGTTGCTATATCTTTATTATTATGGAGCTTAAAATAAAATTTCTCAAGAAATATTGCTGATATTGAGAGCATTTTATTCTCCATCAGCATTTTGTCTTATTGATTGTTTTTCAGCAGAATATTTAATTCTGAGTGTTGGGGACAATAAAGAGGAAAGCTACAAAAAATGACACTGTGACTGGATCCTGAGACAAACTATTTAAAGAAAAAAGGGCAATAATTCCACTTGGTAAGTAACTTTTATATAATTGGTTTATTCCATTCAAACCCAATTCACAATATAATAAAAGATCCTCCAAGTCAATTTATATGTATACTTTAAAAGATTATAAATGTAAAAAAAGGTAGGGGAAGTATATTTGCTGCATCTTTTCTGAGATGTGTATATATGAATTAGTATTACTAGTATTATTTATAAATAAAATACTCAATAAAAATATATTTATTTCTGTGCACTAATTCTATATATTTATTTATTTGCCTATGATT